TGTAGTAAAAATTTATCTACATAAATATCAAAACTTTCTAATGCATTTGATTTAGATGAAATAAACAATCGACCTTTACTCCTAAATCTTCATCTCATTTAATTTAGTGCCTACAGAAAATATTACTCCTACACTTAGTAAATCTTTTATTTTCTAAAAAATAATTAATCTATAAATTTCTAATTAAAAACTATTCATTATAAAAATTTAAATGCAAATTCTTAAGTTACATTTCTTTGAGTTATACTACACCTTTAGCATTTCTAAATTTTCCATTAAAGTCTCAAGGTATAAAATCTTACCTTTTATTTTATACTAACAACTTAATAATTTTAATTATGATTATCCATTTCTTAATTAAACATCAATCATTTAAAATTAATTTATATTTTCAAGTTTCATATATTATTTTCTATTATATTAATGTAAATGCGAGCTCATGCTCACCGGTATTACATAAAGCTTATTGTCTCGCTCCACCATATTCTAGAACTTGGCGAGCCCATCATGGGATGGAAGGTTCTAGAGAAAGCCAGAATATAGGGAGGCATTCATGGGACTCTAGAAGACCACCACATCCGGAGAAGGCTAAATGGAAAAGCTCAAGGAAAACTCAAGAGTAACTTAAAAAGTTCTGGGACTATGTATGTATATAAGAGTAGGAGTATAGAACTCTCTACAAACTAGAATAATCTAATGTATTCTAGAATGTTCCCTTGGGCTTGGAAGGGGCTATAAATAAGAGCCCCTTCCCTCATTTGTAAGCACATAAGAAAGCATCCAAGCATTCAGGTGTTGTAATTGTTCTTTCTTAGTGAAGTGTTACTTTTTCCAATATTTCTCCCTACCCTTCTTCTTATAGTGCTTTTTGTTCACAGGTTTAAGCGTTGTGAGTATTATGCTGATTTAGTACTAAAGGAGAGAGCTAAAGCCACACGGGTGGCTTAGGGAAAGTTAGTCCATGACAGTTGGTATCAGAGCCTTGGTTCAAAGGTATGGCAAAGAGCGTTAAAGAGCATGTAATGGAATCGGAAGCCACTAAAGTGGAAACATATCAACAAGGACGAGGTCGTTAAGAGCAACGAGACCCAGCCACATCCAAACCACATCGAAGTTCTAAGGAGATCATGCATGATTTTGATTCGGGCCTTGCTCGAGTGGAGGAGTCAATGAATGGCATGGAGTCCAAGATAGAGGACCTTGGCCAAAGCGTTGATGAACTCGAGGAGCAGGACAACACCATTCATTCAATAATCAGAGGTATGATGCTCCAATTGGAGGAGTCCTTAATGGACCAAATGGCTAAGATACGAGAGGACTTGATAGAGGAGCTCCAAGAAGTATGAAGAGCCCATGAAGAAGAGATGAGCAACATAAGTGCTAGTTTGGAGGAAATGCCTGAGAATATCTAGCTATGCAAGAGGGCACTAGTGACACTCACTAATCATCACATCTTTGAAGCTAAGAGGATTGAAGTTCCAAAACCAAAGAGTTTGGGAGGAGCCCACAATGAGAAAGAAGTGGGCAACTTCTTTTGGAGACTTGAGCAATATTTTATAGCTATGGGGATCATAGATGAAAAGGAAAGAATCCAATTTGCAGCTCTTTATCTCTTGGACAACACTATGCTATGGTGGAGAAGAAAGCGTGAGGATATTAAGAAAGGTTTGTGCACCATATCTACCTTCGCTGACTTCAAGAGAGAGCTAAGTTCTACCCAAAAAAAGCGAAGGATGAGGCTAGAGCCCAATTACGAAGGCTCAAGCAAAACGGATCAATTCGGGAGTATACTACAACGTTTAATAGACTAGTTCTTGAAATCTTGGACAAGTCTAACAAGGATGCTCTATTCAACTTCATGGATAGACTCCAATAGTAGGCAAATATTGAGCTTTGGAGGCGTGAAGAGCAAGATCTTGCCACTGCCATTGCGGTGACTGAAAGTCTAGTTGATTACTCAAGAGAGTCCAGAAAGCCAAAGGATAAGAAGAGTACATACATCAAAGAAAGGGAATACAAGGACCAACATAAGGATGAGAGTCATCGCAAATTAACCCCATATAAAACAAGAGACAAGGGGAAGTCTAATAGAAAAAAGAAACTGCATAACAACAGCAGTTTGAGTACATACATCAAACTGCTTTCTGTGGATTGCCCTCAGAAGAAGGTTGTAAACTCTCTTCTTGCTAGTCATCATGAGGAAGAAGGCTGTGAAATGGCAGTACAAGTTGGATATATACAACTGTTGAATGTGTTGCAAGCCCCAACAAAACCCTAAGCGAAGGGGTTGCTCTTTGTAGAGATGAGAATAGGTGAGAAGACCACTAAATCAATGGTGGACACGGGCACTTCTCACAACTTCTTCTCCGTGGAAGAAGCAGCGAGACTGGGTTTGTAAGTGACTAAAGGAGGAGGCTCCATCAAGGTAGTTAACTCAGTAGTAAAGCCAATCCATGGATTAGTCACAAGAGTAAATACCAGCATTGGAATGTGGTCAGGTATCTTAGACTTCTCTGTTATTCCAATGGATGATTTTAAAATTGCCTTGGGGATGAACTTCTTGGATCAAGCAAGAGCTTTCTCAATGCCCTTTGCCAAAAACATGTGCATCATGGAAGGAAACCAAGCTTGCTTAGTACCAACAATAACGACTAACAAGCAGGAAGGCAACATGTAATCTACCATTCAATTCAAGGAGGGCATTTCACAAGATAAAGGGAATCACTTTGCAAGGAAAGTGGTGGAGACCCAAAAGGACTTGCCAAGGGAAGTGGTGGAGGTTCTTAAAGAACTACCACGAAGAATGGGAAAAGTTAATCGGATTAGGCTGGAGCCAAGGATGGAGTTAACAGCCACGAAGGAAGAACACAAGTTTACCAAGACTAAACAAAAGAAGTGGGTCCGTGAGTCAAGAGGAAACTGCAATGAGGGCATTATGAGCTTAAGTGGGAGAGAGTGTCACGCTCCATCATATTCTAGAAATTCATGAGACTCTCATGGGATGGAAGATTCTAGAGAAGGCCATAACATAGAGAGGCATTCATGGGACTCTAGAAGACTCCACCACATTCTGGAGAAGGCTAAATGGAAAAGCTCCAAGGAAAACTCAAGAGTAACACACAATGTTCTAGAACTGTGTATGTACATAACAGAGGAAGTGTAGAACTCTCTAGAAGCTAGAATAATCTAATGTATTCTAGAATATTCCCTTAAGCTTGGAGGGTGCTATAAATAAGAGCCCCTCCCCTCATTTGTAATTACCCAAAAAAGCTTTCAAGCATTCAAGTTTTGTAATTGTTCATTTTAATGAAGTGTTTCTTTCTCCAATACTCCTCCCTACTCTTCTTCTCAGAGTGTTTTGTGCTCACAAGTCCAAGCGTTGTGAGAATTAAACCGATTTAGTGCTGAAGGAAAGAGTTATAAACTCACGGGTGACTTAGGGGAAGTTAGTCCGTGACATTATGTTTTATTTACTTTCAATTACAAATATTCTAAACTTCATATAAATTGAAATTAAGCAAATTTATCTGATTTAAAGTATACGTAAAACCTACCATTCATTACACAAATCCCTTTCCACATTGTCGTAGTTCCACTCAACAATATAGTTTCCATGATTGCCCTTGATCTCCCTTCTTTCTCTTAGTTTATTTGGAGATATGTGTGGACAACAGCATGTTGCATTATACAATGTTCGACATGATGTGATCTGTACCATCGACGGACGTAATATTTTCTCATTTATCTGTGTTGTGAGGATCTACATGAATCAAATCTTGATGTTGCTCGATCTAATACACGTACTCACCCTATATCCTATCCGAAAGTTGGTCCAATTGTCACTCTCGCTCAACTCAGATTCTTGCTCAAGTCGCATGAGGTTACTCCACACATGAGCCCAATCTGCTTGTGCAAGCCATTCAAATTGCCTTCTCGTTCTTTAGCTTGTTGACCTCAACTCCCTCCTCTCCCCTTCGCTTGCTTTGTTCTTCCATTTGTCTTGGTCTCACTTGAAAGTGATTAACCAACTAATACCGACTCAATCGAAGCTAAAAGGACATAATGTTATGGATATGAACACAACATACCGGCCAAAGCGCCAAACTGTGAAGGGGTTGAGCTTCATCTCAAAAGTTTTCGTTTGACCCTAACCGCCTTGAGAACAATGGATTCAGTAAGACCAGCACTACGATTCTGAGAAATGGGGAAAAAAATTTTGATCTCCTAGAGCTATATGCAGAAACAACTTATATTCAAAATAACACTTAATAGCATTTACTTTACACAGTTAACTTTCCTTTGAAGTATAAACTATAGTTACTTTCTCAAACTTAGTCGTGCGTTACTCTTGTACGAGATTCACCTAGGCATTTCTACTGTAGAAGTCTTATAAAAAATTTATAAATAATGATCAAACATTTCACTACAAAAATAATGAAATGAATAACAATACGGAGAGTAAGCCTAACATATCTTCATATGGTTCAATTTTCAAATGAAATGCATAAAATTAAATCATAGTTTCAAGTAATGCAGGAGTTGTGATTTCACAACCAATTTTGCTTGAAGTAGATTAACAAAAAACACTCGCCTCAATTCATCAATCATATTGATTATGTTGTCAATTCTCATATAACACCGACTAAGAATCAAGGAGTATTTATATGCATACCACACAATTCTTATATATTTAGACATCTAACACCGAAACATTCATATTTACATGCATATCAATAAAATCTTTAACATCATTTAAAAAATACCACCATCACAATTCTTTTAAAACTGAAATACACATTTTCATAGGGGGGAATCGAACCTTAGACAAGAAAGGGCTTACAACTGGCAAGCAGATGCCCAACCAACTGATTTGAGTATGCGGCGCAGTTCTACCCAATGCTATGTATATATA